CAGAATGGATAAGAACACAAAATCCATCTATTTGCTGTCTACAAGAAACTCATTTTAGACCTGAGGACACCTTCAGATTGAAAGTAAGGGGATGGAGAAATATCTATCATGCTACTGGAAGTCAAAAGAAAGCTGAAGTAGCTATATTTATATCAGACAAACTGGACTTTAAAGTAAAGACAGTAACAAGGGATGAAGAAGGGCATTATATAATAATTACAGGGTCGATCCATCAGGAAGAGCTAACAATTATAAATGTCTATGCATGGAATACGGGAGCACCTAAATACATGAAACAGTTAATCACAAACAGAAACAATCTTATGGATAAGAATGTGCTAATAATAGGGAACTTTAATACTCCACTTACAGCAATGGATAGATCAACTAGACAGAAAATCACTAAAGAAACAATGGACTTGAATGACATATTGGACCAGATGGATTTGACATATATATTTAGAACTCTACACCCTGAGGCCTTGGGATTCACTTTCTTCTCAAGTGTGCATGGCACATTCTCCAAGACAGATCACATACTGGGATATAGAGCAGCCCTCAATAAATATAAACGAATTGAGATCATACCATGCACACTTTCAGATCACAATGCTATGAAACTTGAAATTAACCGTAGGAAGAAGTCTGGAAAACCTCCAAAAACATGAGGTTAAAGAACACCCTACTAAAGAACGAATGAGCCAATCAGGCAATTAGGGAATAAATTTAAAATATATGGAAACAGATGAAAATGAAAATACAACAATTTAAACTCTATGGGATACGGCAAAGGCAGTCCTAAGAGGAAAGTACACCCCACTCCAGGCCTATTTCAAGATATTAGAAAAAGTGCAAGTCCAAAATCTAACACTGCACCTAAACCAAGAGTTGGTTTTTCGAAAAAATAAATTGACAAACCTCTAGCCAGGCTTCTCAAAAAGAAAAGAGAGAGCACCCAAATAGACAAAATCATGAATGAAAATGGACTTATTACAACCAACCCCTCAAAAATACAAGCAATTATCTGGGAATACTATGAAAAATTATATGCCAACAAATTGGACAATTTAGAAGAAATGGACAAATTCCTAAACACACACTCACTACCAAAATTCACACGGGAAGAGATAGAAAATCTGAACAGACCCATAACTAGTGAAGAAACTGAATCAGTTATCAAAAATCTCCCAACAAATAAGAGCCCTGGGCCAGATGGCTTCCCTGGGGAATTCTACCAGACATTTATTTTTATTTTATTTTATTTTTTTTTACAAATAGTTTACTGTCAAATTGATTTCCACATAACACCCAGTGCTCATCCCCACAAGTGTCTACCAGACATTTAAAACAGAATTAATACCCATTCTTCTCAAGCTATTCCAAAAAATAGAAATCGAAGGAAAACTTCTGGACTCATTCTATGAAGCCAGCATCACTTTGATTCCCAAGCCAGACAGAGACCCAGCAAAAAAAAAGGAGAACTATAGGCCAATATCCTTGATGAATGCGGATGCAAAAATCCTCAACAAGATACTTGCAAATCGAATTCAACAGCACATAAAAAGAATTATCCACTATGATTAAGTGGGATTCATTCCTGGGTTACAGGGCTGGTTCAATATTTTCAAATCAATTAATGTGATACTTCACATTAACAAAAGAAAAGATAAAAACCATATGATCCTGTCAATAGATGCAGAAAAAGCATTTGACAAAATATAGCATCCCTTCTTAATAAAGACCCTCGAGAGAGTCGGGATAGAAGGAACTTACTTAAACATCATAAAAACCATCTAGGAGAAGCCCTCAGCTAACATCATCCTCAGTGGGGAAAAACTGAGAGCTTTTACCCTGAAATCAGGAACACGACAGGGATGTCCACTCTCACCACTGTTGTTTAACATAGTACTGGGAGTCCTAGCATCAGCTATCAGACAACAAAAGGAAATAAAAGGCATGAGAATTGGCAAAGAAGTCTAACTTTCACTTTTCACAGACGACATGATACTCTACATAGAAAACCTGACAGTCTCCACCAGAAGCCTACTAGAAATGATCCATGAATTCGGGGTACAGTTGCAGGGTACAAAATCAATGTACAGAAATTGGTTGCCTTTTTATACACCAATAATGAAGCAACAGAAAGAGAAATTAAGAAACTGATCCTATTTACAATTGCACAAAAAAACCATAAAATACCTACAAATAAGCCTAACCAAAGATATAAGAGATCTGTATGATGAAAAGTATAGAAAACTTATGAAGGAAATTGAAGACGACACAAAGAAAAGGAAAAACATTCCATGCTCATGAATCAGAAGAATAAATATTGTTAAAATGTCACTACTACCCATAGCAATCTACACATTCAATGCAATCCCGATCAAAATTGCACTAGCATTTTTCTCAAAACTAGAAAAAACTATCCTAAAATTTGTATGGACCACAAAAGACCCCAAATAGCCAAATAGTGAAGAATAAAACCAAAACGGGAGGTATTACCATCCCAGACTTTAGCCTCTACAACAAAGCTGTAATCAACAAGGCAGTATGGTATTGGCACAAAAACAGACACATAGACCAATGGAATAGAATAGAGAACTCAGAATTGGACCCACAAATATATGGCCAACTAATCTTTGACAAAGCGGGAAAGAGTATCCAATGGGAAAAAGACAGCCTCTTTAACAGATGATGCTGGGAGAACTGGACAACAACATGCAGAAGAATGAAACTAGATCATTTTCTCACACCATACACAAAAATAAACTCAAAATGGATGAAGGACCTGAATGTGAGATAGGAAACCCTCAAAACCCTAGAGGAGAAAGCAGGAAACAACCTCTTTGATCTCAACCGCAGCAATTTCTTACCTGACACATCCCCAGAGGCAAGGGGATCAAGACCAAAAATGAACTATTGGGATCTAATCAAGATAAAAAGCTTCTGCACGGCAAAGAAATAATCAATAAAACTAATAGGCAACCAACGGAATGGGAAAAGATAGTTGCAAATGACATATCAGATAAAGAGTTACTATCCAAAATCTATAAGGAACTCACCGAACTCCACACCCGAAAAACAAATAATCCAGTGAAGAAATGGGCAGAAGACATGAACAGACACTTCTCCAAAGAGGACATCCAGATGGCCAACAGACACATGAAATGATGCTCACTTCTCCAAAGAGGACATCCAGATGGCCAACAGACACATGAAATGATGCTCAGCATCCCTCCTCATCAGGGAAATACAAATCAAAACCACACTGAGATACCACCTCACGCCAGTCAGAGTGGCTAAAATGAGCAAATCAGAGAACTCTAGATGCTGGCGAGGATGTGGAGAAACGGGCACCCTCCTACACTGTTGGTGGGAATGTAAACTGGTACAGCCCCTCTGGAAAACAGTGTGGAGGTTCCTCAAAATATTAACAATAGAACTCCCCTAGGACCCAGCAATAGCACTGCTAGGAATTTACCCAAGGGATTCAGGAGTGCTGATGCATAGGGGCACATGTACCCCAATGTTCATAGCAGCACTCTAAACAATAGCCAAAACATGGAAAGAGCCTAAGTGTCCATCAACTGACGAATGGATCAAGAAGTGGTTTATCTGTACGATGGAATACTACATGGCAATGAGAAACAATGAAATCTGGCCATGTGTAGCAACGTGGATGGAACTTGAGGGTGTTTTTCTGAGTGAAATATTTCAGTCAGAGTTTGACAGATACTTTATGTTTTCACTTATTGGTTGATTAGGAGTAACTTAATGGAGGACCATGGGGGAGAAGAAGGGGAAAAATAGTTGGGGAGAGGGAGGAAAGCAAACCATGAGAGACTATTGAATAGGAGAACAAACTGAGGGCTGATGGGGGTGGAGGAGAGGGAAGTGGGGTGATGGGCATGGAGGAGGGCACTTGGGATGAGCACTGGGTGTTATATAGAAACCAACTTGACAATAAACTAAGAAAAAAATAAAAAAGCCAAGGATTTGCGAATAATACAACCTATTTTGTTTCAACAAACTTATATCCAATTTTTTAGGTCTTATTTTTCACTCCCCTTTTTTGCACTTAATGAAGTGTTGGGAAACTATCCACACTTCCGGTTATGCCAATCTCTGGGGATGTGGAGTAGAAAATCATTATTATTGCTTATCAAACACCCAGAAGAGTTACAGGCACATAGTGTGTACTCAATAAATATTTGGTGTTGGAAGGAGTTAAGGTGACATTTGTAAAAGCAATACTGATATGGGGAACAAGAAAACCACATCTGAATTACTAGTAGCTATTTAATAATGTCAGTCCTTTCTTGTTTAAACACAGAGGTACATGAATTGAGGACTTAATTCTTTTTTTCTAGAAGGTTCAACACTGAGTCTTAAAGAATCCATTAGATGAACATAGGATAGGCATTCAGATCTCGTTCTACGACTTCAGTCAAAAAGTTTACCATCTTCAAGTTTTAGTTTGTAAATATTCCCTGGCCAGGAGCTAGGTAGGTATTTGCTTTTTGCTCACCTAATTGGAGACCAACTTTAGCTCTTTTCATTCAACCGTCACTTCACAATATACCCCCCTCCCCGGTATCCTCTCACCCCAAACCACACACAAACTAACCAGAAAACCACAATTCGTTCAACTTCTTGAACAGTGCAAGGCTAAAGCTGAGGCCACAAGACACGTTTTTAACCACACGGTTTCCCTCCTCTAGCCCGATTAGGTTTTGTAGGGGCAATATTTTGCTTTCGTAGAACGCGCTCGTGGTCTCGGACTCGACACAGTAGCGTCCAGCCCGGGCAGTCACCGAAAACTACTAAACCCGTCTTTCTCTAAACTCCTACAAGTGCCTCACAAGCTCCTACAGTCGTCCAGAGGCCCCGCCCCGTGGATTTAGCGCGGTAGTTTGCGCATGCCCAGTGAGCGCCGCATGCCCCTGTAGGGCTCCCGTTCCGCCTCGGTTCCCTGTGGCCCCGGCGCGCGGCGTGCGGCTGGCTTCCTCCCTCAGAGGGCCCCGCCCGGTTGTTTGCGGGCAGGGGCACCTCCCCTGGCGGGCGGGCCCCGGGGTCTGGAGGTTCCGAGCGAGCGACGATTGGCTGACGTGGTGGCCACGCGTCGGGCCTCAGAAACTCGGGGCGAGAGCCCAGAGTCGGCTCTCCAGGCAGTGCCAGGCGCATCTCCGGTAAACAGGTAGGCTGGGAGTTTTGGCGACCGGAGAAAAGGAGGGGTGGGCTTAGATCCAGCCCTGGAATTTCCGGCCGCAGCCTCCTTGGAGCAGAAGGGGCGGCGCGGAGTCTACACCCAGTGAATGTTGGCGGGGAGTGATGGAGCTCACGCGAAGGTCAGCGTCGTGGGGTCCTCAGGTCCTCTTTCTGGGCGTAATTTCGGCATCCTGCTGTTTCTTACTACAAAAGTTCAACAGCTGAGTATTTATCCAAGGGTGTAGGTTTTTTTTTGTTTTTCCCTTTAGTGGCTGTTAGTTGGAGAGTTCAGGTCCTGGCTCAACCTATGACTCTGTGTCCTTGAGAGGGACTTAATCGTTGTGTATTTCAGTTCTCACACTTGTAAGTTTCAGCAGAGATTACGGTGCTTCTTTGGGCACAAGGAGCCGTCCTGTAGAAAGATACTGTTAGAATTTTTTAGGTTCACAGTGTGCCTGAGCCCAAATTTCTCTGGAAGGTGACACCACCCAGTATTATTTGTGAAGAAGTATCTTAAGCTCCAGGAATGGAAGGAACTAAACACCACAGAAACAGGCTTTTTGAAAAGCTCCTTTGAACATTTCATGCAGATTAAATCACTGTGGCGGTAGACAAAGGTAAACCAAAACAAAGGGCCAAACAAAACCACTTTTCAGGGCTCCCCCACCCTCCAGGTAACTTTAACATATTCTCATGAAAGTTATTGGCTTTTCAGTTTCTTCTTGGGATCTAGTGTGGTACTAACCGAAAATGACAGGTACATAATCATTTGGGTATCCTGTGCAATATTATACCAAGAAAAACAAGGTAAGCCGACTTCCATATAAGATAACAGGAATTAAGATATCTTATTGGTGAGAAGTAATGATGATAAGTCAGAAAAATGAAAAGGTGCTGTACACAATCCTTTAAAGCCAGAAATTTTATAAAAAATCTTTTTAGTGTGTTAACTTTTAAGGTATGATGGACATAGAGAAAACCACATGAATCATAAGTGTACAGCTCATTGAATTTTCACAAAGCATACATATCCATGTATTTAGCACCTAGATCAAGAAAGGAAATTACTTGCATCTTAGAAACTCCACTCTGTGAGATTCCTTTCCAGAGGTAACCATTATGCTGATTTCTAAAGTCATCTGTGAATTCACTTGTTACTGACTTTATATAAATGGAATCATGCAGTAAATAGTCCTTTAAGAATCACTTTTCCTCAATATTTGTGAGATTTACACAAGTTATGGAGTAGTAGTTCTTAAGCCGCATAGTATTCCATCCAGTGTTTGGCTGTTAGGAACATATTTATAAGTACATTTGACCCTTGGACAACATGTGTTTAGACTGTAGGGGTCCACTCATGAGTGGATTTTTTTGATAAATATAGTATACTATTGTAAATGTATATTTTCTTCCTTATGATTTTCTTAGGAGTGTTTTCTCTAGCTTACTTTATTGTAAGACTATAGTATATAATACACATACAAAATGTGTGTTAATAGACTATGTTATCGATAAGGCTTCCAGTCAACAGTGGACTATTAGTAATTAAATTCTTAGTCAAAAGTTAAACTTGGATTTTTGACTGTGTGGGGTTGGTGCTTCTAACCCTTACATTATTCAAGGGTCTGTTGTATTTTGGTGAACCTATGTATACGTTTCTGTTAGATATACTGTTGGTGAAATGTCTATATGTAGGGTGTGCAGGTATGTATTTCTTGTATACACTACCAAAAAAGTTGTTCAAGTTAGTGTTTTAACACTCCTCTTAGCATTATTTGAGAATTCTAACTCCTCCAAATGCTTGCGACACTTAGTGTGGTCTTTTTCATTTTAACCATTCTGGTGGGTGTGTAGTGATATCACATTGGTGTTTTCTCCTAATTTCCTTAATGACTAATAATATTTAACACCTCTTCATACGTTATTGGCCATTTGGATTCCTCTATTGCAGGGGTCATCATTTTTTTGTTAGAGGCCAAATAATAGATACAGGCAGTCCTTGCATTGTAAAGTTTCATTTAAAGCACTACTGTATAAAGCTATGACTGCTTGTGTATTTAGGCTTTGCAGGCCATATACAATATACAGCTTCTGTTGTTTTTTTCTTCCATACTTCCTTTCCTTTTTTGCCTGCTTGCTTGCTTTCCTTCCCTTGCTCCCTCACTCTTCTTCCTTTCTTTGATTCTTGTTTCATAGATTGCCAACCTACTATGTTGCAAAATGACTGTTCAAAATAACAGCTCAATCTTTGGCCCATTGGTGATGGTGAAACTATTGAAAAAAACCCCGGAAAACTAATAATATTAAGTATTGTATGTTGTAGTCTTTTGAGGTTAAGTAATATTATTAAGCAGCATGCGCTGTAGTGTTTTGGAGTTAAATTTGAAATCTCTAAGTATTTTCTTTGCTTCTTACCAGTTGTACCTCAAGGCTAACTAGAGAGCTGTTTTAGGCTTCTCTAAACTGTTCGTACTGTTCCTACTTTTTCCTATCCCATTATAACTGAGGAACAAAAGAGAGGTAAGAGGAGAGAAAAGAAAGGAAATAGAACCCCTTTTCTGATACTGCATAAAATGCTAAGAAAAGGATAAATAATAAACAGTTCTGGATTCTTGGAGAGAAAAAAAAATACATAAAAAGCATAAAATACTTTTTGCAATACTTTGAGATACTGTCTTTTGAGCCATTCCATGGTGGGATGGCTTGCTTAAAATTTTTATTCTTGAGTATTCTCATAATATGGAAAGTAATAGCTAATGGCTTGGGCCATGAAACTCAGCTATTTCATTCCTGCCCATGATGGAGGTGCTCTCTTCCTGAAATGCCCCCATTGGACTGTCCAGTGCATCTTCTCTTACTTTGGGCCCCCTGGCTTTTCACTCAGTATCAAAATTACCAAAAAACTTTGGAAAGTATAAAAAAATTTTTTGACTGCTATTTCAACCTATGTTAACATTTGTGTTAACAATTTCTTTTTTTTTTTAATGTGGCTTATAGAAGTGAGTTTATTAATGTATTTAGAAATATGCTAAAACCAATGAGAGACTTAACGGGTATTCTCATCAACTTGATCTTTTCTTTGAGATAGATAATTGAGTTTTGGTCATTCTTACTTGATTATTATGATTAAAGATAAGATATTAAGATTTAAGATAAGCCACTAAGCCTAGCTTCTGCCACCACCAACTGCTGTCCTTTAGCCTTTCTTACATAAAAATTTTGGATCCATTTGTGCAATTATATACATGTGTTTATACTCACTCATTCACACGTTTTGACTAATGCAAATACTTTACTGCTTTATAATTGCCACACAAATAATTGTACTTATATGCATTGTTTTCACTGGACTTCTTGAACCAGAGTTGGAGTCATTACAAATTATTAGGGTTGGTAAAGGGTATTAAGTGGATTTCGTATAGGAACACATAGGGCGTTTATGTAATGCAAATGTTTAACAGTACTGGACCCTGACTACTAAGGATATATCTACCAGTCCAGATGTTGTCATTAGCTTCCGAGAGAACCAACTCCCCTGGACATTGCTTGCATCATGTTGTCATTGTTGACCTCTGGGATGTTGTATTTTCCAGGATTCCAGTGGGGATAGACCTTGCCTTTTCTGGTTGCAGTTTCTATTTTTAGATGTTTCATTTAGGTTATATTTAATCTTTCTTTGTTTAAGGTGACTGTATTTCTCTGCTGTGAGAGAAATATTATTTGTTTCTTTTATACTTCCCTTCCAGAAAATTTATTACTGAAATGTCTAGATAAATGTGACTGGGGATGGGCAGAGGATAGTTCATCTCACATTCCACGTACAGAGATCACTTTAGGGTTGGTGAAAGGAAAAGATAATTCACAACATCAGTTTTTGCGGCTCTTGTTAGTAGCGTATTATTATTCTCAACTTCCATTTCAATATCTTGGATTTTGATACTATTATAAAGAAGGGATAGGGCTGTTTTAGTACATTGACTGTAAAAGCAATGTGCTACTGTGCAAAAGCACTGGGTGTAAGAGCAGAATAAGTATAGTTTACTACCTGTCTATGTTAACCTTTCTTGGAATTTGGTTTTTATAAAATGAGGCATTTTGACCAAGTATCTCTAATTCTTGGTAATTCTTTGCAATAGACTTAGTAGAGAAGCACAGAATTTAGAACTTAAATTACCCTAGAGGCCTTTTAGGTCTCAGTTTTTCGCAATGAAAATACTGAGGTCTTTAAAGATTGTAGTTAGTCACATAAGTTACTAGAATCTAGTTCTCCTGACTTGTATTTCACTTGTCTTTTCTGTTATGCTACTTGTAGGAGTCAGCCTTCTAAGATAACCGTGGTATTCACACTAATGTATAATGCTTTTCCCTTGAGGGTAGACTACCAAAAGGCTCACTTCTAATAGAGTATGTCAAAAGTGGTAGGATGTCACTTCCAAGATTATGTTATAATAGACTCTAACTTCCTTTTTGCTGGACCTTTCTTGGCTTGCTCACTCTGATGTAACCATTTGCTGTATCATGAGCTGACCTTAGAAAGATCCACCTGTCAAGGAATTGAGGGGAGGCTTTGGCCAATAGCCCACAAAGAATTGAAGTGCTCAATTCAGTAACCCTCAGGAACTGAGTCCTGCCAAAAGTTACTGAGTGAAGTTGGAAAATTTTTCCCAGTTAAAGCTTAAAATCATTGTAGCCCTGCCTGACACCTTGATTATCACCTTGTGAGAGACCCTGAACTCCAGGACCCATCTAAGCAAGGGTAGATTCCTCAGGAACTGAGGTGTTGTTTTGACCTGCTGAGTTCTGGAGTACTTTGTTTAGCAGCAACAGATAAGTAATAAACTGCTGTTAGTAATTTTTAATTTTTTTTAAAGTTTATTTATTTTGAGAGAGAGAGTGAGCACGTTGGGGAGAGGGAGAGAGCGAGAATCCCAAGAAGGCTCAGCACTGTCAGTGCAGAGCCCGATGTGGGACTCAAACTCACCAAGCACA